CCGCTTGCCCCTCAGGCCCGGCGGTGGGTCCCGGGTGCGGGTCGGCATCCTGGCCGGTTCGTGACTCCCCAGCCCGTCGTCCCGCGGAGCCGGGTGCCGGGGTGGGGGCGGGGGGCTCCTTTGTCTGTCTCTCCCTCTTGGCTTCTGGGACGACTCGGCCTGCCGTGATGGGGACGCTGGGGCCCAAGGCTCCGACCGACGGTAGGTCTTGGGACCGCCCTGCCAGTAGCCCCCGGGGCAAAGGCAGGAACTGCGGGCCCCATTTTGCTTGTTCCCCTGAGATCAAGACTCAGTCAAGCTTGGGCCATCCTTACATCTGTGTGTGTGGGGGGCTGGTCAGCCAGTCCTGATCCTACCTTCTCCCAACCCCAACCCCACCCAGATCGTCTCCCTTTTCAGTTGGAACTGGCTCTCCTAGGATGAGGATGCCCATCTCAGACACCCTATTGCTGGCTATTTTCAAGAGTTTCCTCTGGTCACTTGACACCTTGCTTTCCCAGTTAACCTAAGTCAGTTCCAATGCCTATGGGGAAAAGTTCAGGAAGTGTTTGTCCAAAAGTGGCTGTTTCTAAACCACTCTCAGGTCCCAGGACTCAGTAGAGGGCTCTCCTGTGTACGGGATGGGCTCTGCACCTGCAGGCCTCCTCTCCTTTCTTGGCCACTTGCTCTAACTCCTCTGTGCCCCAATGCCCCACTTCCCGCCCAGCCTCTGACTCACCCTACCATGGAGCAGAGCCCAGCACATCCAAGGGCAGGAGAAAAGGGTATGTGCCCAGAAATGTGATCAACTGGCCTCTGCTTTTAAAGCTGGGATTACCAGACTTGACGATGTGGAGTTAGGGAAGTTCAGAATGTGGCTATGGATTTAGCAAGTGTCCTAATCCCTTTGTGCCTCAGCTTCCACATGTCAAATGGGAACACTAAGAGTGTGCAGGATGTGGGTGGCTAGCACAATGTAAGTGATAAAAGCTTTCTTTGCTGTCTGAGATGCCAGCCCCATTACACACTGGAGCACCAGAGCACCAGAGCTTGTCCATACAGTTACCTTTCTTCCTGGAACAGACTTTGGCTGAATTTCTAGTAGAAGCTGAGCCTGGTGCTGGATCTGGAGAAGCCAAAGTGTGTGTGTGCGCGCGCCCGTCCAGGGGCTTGAACTCAGGGCCTAGGCACTATCCCTGAGATTCTTTTTGCTCAAAGCTAGCACTCTACCATAACACCACTTCCAGTTTTTTTTTTTTTTCTTCTGTTTATGTGGTACTGAGGAATCAAACCCAGGGCTTCATGCATGCTAGGCAAGCACTCTACCACCAAGCCACATTCCCAGCCCAAGCCAAAACAATTGTGTCAAGGAGTCTTGGAGCTTTGGATTTTAAAAGCCAGTTTTATTCTTTTACTAGGATCTTGTGGACTTTTGCCTCTTGACAGTGGTGGAAGACACATGAGTTAGATTTAAAATGACACAAGTTTGAATTACAGATCCTTCCATGGCTAATGTGTTGCTGGGTTTAGGCACTTCTACTTAGAAAGTTTTTACTTAATAATTCTCATGTCTTACTAAGAAGCAGAAAGCTTTGCATGTCCATTCATTCATGAATCCCAGTCATTCTCTAAGCAAACATTTCCTCATGCCTTTCAGTGCCAAACTCCAGGATATGGAGGTGGGGTTGACCTTTGTGGGTACTGTCAAGAGAGCCTGAGGTACGGTTTCCAGGGTGTTATGGGCATGTAGAAGTGACTGATAGATAGGCTTAGTAGATACCACAGGAAGCTTCTTCCTTTTGGCACAAGGCTTATTTGCCTTGCTTGTTTAGGACTCTCTAGATTTATAAACAGGAGGACTTTGGGGAGCAGCTTGGAAAATTACCTCTTAGTAAAAGCCCCCACAATTCAGATAATTGTCCTGATTTTTCTCAACTGTCCAAATGTAGGCCAGGATTAAAAGAGGATATACTAAAATGAACATAGTTTCTGAGAACATATTTAAAATGTTTTCCTTAGGTAATTAGTATTTCTTAAAAATTCCGATGTTTTACTTTTTTGACCAGTTCTGGGGCTTGAACTCAGAGCCTGGGCACTGTCTCCACAAGCTTCTCTGGGCTCAAGGCTAGCTAGCACTCTACCACTTGAGCCACAGCACCACAGCTGGACTTTTCTGTTTATGTGGTACTGAGGAATCGAACCCAGGACTTCATGCATGTTAGGCAAGCACTCTACCACCAAGCCACATTCCCAGCCCTCTGGTGTTTATTAATTGCATATATTATCTTTCAAATATCCAGTGTATATGTATGTTTGTTATTGAAAGCATAAAGTATGAATCTGGTTTTTAACTTGTTTATTTATATTTGTGTTGCTGGGAACCAAACCTGGGGCCTTGTATATACCAGGAAGGTACTCTACTACTGAACCAACCCCCCAGCCCTTAATTCCTTTTTTTCTTAAAGCTTTTGAAATTATTAGGATAATCCTGAAAACAAGCAAAAAAGAAAGAATTGCTGGTGGCTTATGCCCATGATCCTAGTTATACAGGAAGCTGAGATCTGAAGAGCCACAGTTTGAAACCATAAAGTCAGTGAGACTCTTATCTCTAACCATCAGAAAGTCAGAAATAGAGCTGTGGCTTAAGTGGTAGAATGCCAGCTTTAAGCAGAAAAACTAAGGGAGAGTGCCCAGGCCTTGAGTTCAAGCCCCAGTACTAGCATGCAAAAAAAGAAAATGTAAATAGCTAATAACTCCATTTCATTAAAAAATTGTGTCTACTTATTCTTTGCTTAAAAAACATTATGGGGGATTGAACTTCAGGTCTTTCTTGTTTTTATTTTTTGAGATAGGGTCTCACTAGTCTGCCTTCACCTCTTGGATATCTGAGGTAACAAGTATATACTACCATACCTGGCTATTTTTTTATGGGGGTGAGGGTCAGTCTCTAGTTTGAACTCAGAACCTCTGTGTTGTCTCTGAGCTTTTTCGCTCAAGGCTAGTGCTGTACTACCTTATTTTTTTTGGTCGGTCATAGGGCTTGAACTCAGCCTGGGCGCTGTCCCTCAGCTCTTCAGCTCAAGGCTAGCGCTGTACCTCTTGAGCCATAGGGTCAGTTCTGGTTTTCTGGTGGCTTGTTGGTGATAAGAGTCTCATGGCCTTTCCTGCCCAGTCTGGCTTTGAACTGTGATCCTCAGATCTCAGCCTCCTGAGTAGCTAGGATTACAGGCGTAAACCACCAGTGCCGGGCTAGTGCTGTACTACTTTGAGCCACAGCACCACTTCTGGTTTTCTGGTGGTTAGAGTCTCACAGACTTTTCTGCCTAGGCTGGCTTTGAACTGTGATCCTCAGATCTCAGCCTCCTGATTAGCTTTATAGGTGGGATTATATAGTAGGATTATAGGTGTGAGCCACCAACAACTTACTGGCTACTTTTTTTTTTTTTTTTAAATAGAAGACTTAGTTCTTCAAAGGGGACAAAGATAAGAATTGCTAGCCAATTGGTTGGCACATGGTCTACCATGATGTCAAGGTATGTGAAAATACTATCTTTGATCTTTACTTTGCTCTTTCTGAAGTGAGGAATTGGATGAGCTGCACTACCAGGACACTGACTCAGATGTGTTGGAGCAGAAGGACAGCAAGTGCAAGGTCAAATGGACCCATGAGGAGGTGAGCGTCACCTTGGTTCCATGGAATTGGGGAGGAGAGAGTAGCTGGCAATTGGGAGACTGGCCTCAGGTGAGCCTGAGTGGCTTCTTTGGGAAGAGGAGGAAGTGCCATTTTGAAGGCTAGTGAATCCTCTACCCCTCTCCCTGCCCTTCTTGAGCATTCTGGGGACTTCTAAATCTTTAGGTGGAGTAGGAGATTGTGTTTTGGGAACTAGTCCCTGTGTATGCTTCTAGTTCTTTCTGTTCTAACAATACCAGAGACTGAGTAGTTCATCTAGAATTAGAGTTGATTCCCCTTGCCATTGTGGTAGTTGGGAGATACAAGGTTTGTGGGGCACTTCTGGAGAAGACTTCTTGCTGGCAGGAGAATGCTTGCCACCAGGCCTCACCTGTGTAGAACATCATGTGGCACAATACAAAATATAGCCAAATTGGCTTTTACAATAGACCTGCCCTCAAGATCTTAACTCTATAATCCAGGAATCTGTAATGAAGGCATGAGGACAGAGGCCTCATGACCTAGTCACCTTTTCAAAGGCCCACATGATCACATCTCTTAATACCTCACCATGGGTACTAAATTTCAACATGAGCACTCGTGGGAATATTTGAACCATAAACACCTTTTTGACTAAAAGGAGTTCAACCAAATCTGTGACTTCCTTTTTGTGTGTGTGGTGGAGTGGGTTTAGTGTGTCAGTTTTCAATGTGGGGCTTGAACTCAGGGCTTGGGCACTGTCCCTTAGCTTTTTCTGCTCATGGTTACTGCTTGAGCCATAGTTCCACTTCCAGCTTTTTGGTGGTTAAGTGGAGATAAAGAATCTTACAGAATCTTCTTGCCCGAGCTGACTTCAAACTGCAATCATAAAATCTCATCTTCCTGAATAGCTAACTCTCCATTCTCTTGTCTACTCTTGAGTAGTTATAAGTAAAACCACTATGTCTAGTCCCTCCTTGTTTTAAAAAGAAAAAAAAATGAATTATATCCCTCCTAAGTTTACACTCAGTTGATTTTTTGTTTTCTTTTTAGGTAAGTTTTCAATATGTGGCCCAAGTGGCTTCATCTATTGAAGGATTTATGACTATTATTTAAGTATAATCTACATATAGTCAAACCTTTTTTACTTTATTTAAATTAAAATTTTTTTTGTGAAAAAATCTGGGCTTGAACTCAGGGCCTTACATTCTCTGCTGTGCTCTATTTACTCATAGCAGTCATTCTACCACTTGAGACTGGCCTTCAGTTTGACATTTTGCTGGTCAATTGGAGATAAAATTGCTCCAACTTTTCTACCTGAGCTGATTTTCAACCATGATCCTCAGATCTTACCCTTCTAAGGAGCTAGGATTATGGACAGGAGCCTATTTATTTAAAAATATTTATTATTACAAAGGTGATGTAAGTCACCTTGCTACACAAGGTAAGGAGTACATTTCTCTTTCTTCTCCCTCTCTCCCATTTTCTTTTCTTTTTTTTTTTTTTGGGGTCCGGTCGTGGGCCTTAACTCTGGGCCTGGGCGCTGTCCCTCAGCTCTTCAGCTCAAGGCTAGCGCTCTACCACTTGAGCCACACCACCACTTCCGGCTTTTTTCTTTTTGCTTATGTGGTGCTGAGGAATCGAACCCAGGGCCTCATGCATGCAAGGCAAGCACTCTACCACTGAGCCACCTTCCCAGCCCCCTCTCTCCCATTTTCAATGCACCTTTTTACAGTGAGCACAGTTACACTGTCTTGGCAAAGGCATAAATTCATGTAAACACTGCTGATCATTTCTGAAGTTCTTTAGTGTGCTTCGTGTTTAAGTGGCTCCAGCTCCAGGCAATTGATGAACTAAACTCTCAGATTAAGTTGCCTGTTCTTGAATGTAAATGGAGTTAAATAGTTGTTCTCTTTGTGCCTTCTTTTGTTCAGTATAATGAGTGTTATATGATTCAGTGATTGGTCTCTTTGGGAGCACAGTACTGGAGTGTGAACTCATCACCTCAGACAGGCACTCTTCTACCACTGAGCCCTTTTTTGAGTGGTCATTTTTTTTTTTTTTGCCAGTCATGGGGCCTGAACTCTGGGTCTGGGCTCTGTCCCTCAGGTCTTCAGCTAAAGGCTAGTGCTCTACCACTGGAGCTACAGCACCACTTCCGGCTTTTTCTGCTTATGTGGTGCTGAGGAATCAAACCCAGGGCCTCATGCATGCAAGGCAAGCACTGTACCGCTGAGCCACCTTCCCAGCCCGTTGAGTGGTCATTTTTAAGGAAAGGTCTCTCATGCTTCCTTCCTGGGCTTCCTCCTGGACTTCAGTTTGACAGTTCATGGAGTTTCATTAATTTTTATACCTGGATTAGCCTGAAACCATGATCTTCTCCCAGTCAGCCTCCCACGCAGCTGGATAACAGACATGAGCTATTGATAGAGTAGGGGTCTCTGATATATGTATGCCTGGGCTGATGTCCAGTTGTGATCCTCCTAATTGCAGCCTCACAAGTAGCTAGGATCACAGACATGAACCACCAGTGCCCAGACACCAATTTGTCTCATTTTTATTACTGGAAGATACAAATTATATGGCTATGCCATCATGTTTTACCTCTTTATAAACGTTACTAGGACTGTTAATAGACTTTGGCAGTTGTGGATAGCCTAGGTCTTTTTGTTTGTTTTTCTTAAGGGTTTTTTTTTTTTTTCTTTTTGCAGACTTATGTTTCCATTTCTTTTCAAAAGATTCTTGGGCATTGTTATGGAGTGGGTGAATGTTTGGGGACAGCTTCTTCTTTTTTTTTTTTAAGCATAATTCATGCTAAGCACTGAGCTATCTCCACAGTAAGACTTTTTCCATAATTGATTGTTCTATTTTAAGACTCCTACTGGCCTTTTTATTCCACCTCATATTTTTACTTATGTATTTAGTTTTTTTTTATTTTATTTGTGAAGATACTGTACAGAGGGGTTACAATTACATGGGCAGGATAATGCGTACATTTCTTTCTTTTTTTTTTTTTCGGTCGGGGGGCTTGAACTCTGGGCCTGGGCGCTGTCCCTCAGCTCTTCAGCTCAAGGCGAGCGCTCTACCACTTGAGCTACAGCGCCACTTCCGGCTTTTTTCTTTTTGCTTATGTGGTGCTGGGAATCGAACCCAGGGCCTCAGGCATGCAAGGCAAGCGCTCTACCACTGAGCCACCTTCCCAGCCCCATTTCTTACCAAGCATTGCAGCCTCCTCCTTTTGTTTACCCTTCCCATCCCTTCCCAGCCTCCCCCTTCCCCCCCAATCCTTCTCCTTCCTCCCCTCCCCCCCCCCACTGACGTTGTAAAGCTCATTTTGGACATGACAACTTGTACTTCTCATTGTTGCAACAGGTCCACCTGTATCTTTAAACAATAGGTTTTTCCCCATCTCCTCCTTGTATTTAGTTTTAAGTTTAATTGTTTATGTAAAATTTGCTATATGAGCCAGACACTATATACTTGTCCAAACTACTCAGGAGGCTGAAGTAGGAGGATTGCTTCAGAAGTTGGAGGCCAGCCTGAGAAGCGTGGAACCTGCCTCAGACAAACAATCCCCCAAACTTTGCTTTAGGAATTGTAACTCATTCTTCAGTCATTAAATTTTTGTTTTGTTTTTAAACTCAGGGCCTGAGCATTGTCCCTCCTGTGTTTTTTGCTCAAGGCTAGCACTACCACTTGAGCCATAGCTCTACTTCCAGCTTTTTTAGGGGGTAGTTTAGTGGAGATAAGAATCTCACACTTTCCTGCCTGGGCTGGCTTGAAAACTGAATAGCTAGTGTTACAGGTATGAACCACCAGTATCCAGCTTAAAAATGATATTTTTTAGACAAGTACTAAGCAGACTTTTTCTGTTCATACCATTGTGATATTTGGCTCTGTGGGTTACAGGTAGGGAACAGCCATCCTTCTGGCCATAAAGACTTATGAAGTCATTGAGTACATTTGGATAGACAGTGCTTTTTTCCACATGCTTCTGGGCAGTTGACCCAGGTCTGTGTGCCAGTCTTGATAATTTTGTATGGCTTGTGAATAATGTTATAAATATCCTAGTGGTTCTTGGCCAAAAAAAAAAAAAAATGTTCCCACCCCTGGTAGAAGAATAAACAAGACCAAATTCCTACCCTTCTGGCTAGAGAGAAGGCTGATTACAGGTCCACGTAGTGTTCTGAAATTGTCACTGGGTTGGTGACCAGCTGCTGACCACTGTCTCCTGGCATAAAGGCTCCTGGCACATGGGGGCACTTACTGTCTGTTGGATGAGGGGATGTTGACATACTTTTAGAAGGAAAGGCTACTTTTACCTGAATAGGTAAGGGAAAAGTAAACTGAGAATGTGGCCTTTGAGCTCAGGATGAGGACCTAGAAATTCAGTAGTGAGGAAAGACAAACTGTAGTAAGCCAGATGAGTCACCATAGGCAATGGCTGTAGGTGGAAGAACTTGAGTACAGGAGTCCAATTTGTTCTTGAAGTGGAAAAAAGTGACGTGGACAAAAAAAACAGGTGGACCAATTCCTAGAGGGCCTTAAGTGTTGAGCTCAGAAGATCTAAGGGTATGCAGCTTAGTATTTAGCCAGGGGAGGTTTATAAAGCCTTGGAGTGACTACAGGAGCCTGATTTTAAGAGTGCTGATCTGCTGTGAGGAAAGGCTTTGGGGGCAGCTCACTGAGACCAGTGCAGAGGAGTGGAAAGAAAGCATAACTACACCATGCTGCTTTGCCTTATGAGCCACTTTTCAGTTAATTGAGTAGTGTGAAGTATTTTCCCATTAGTGTGCATACCAGCGCTCTGTTACTCTTTGTGTGTGTGTGTGTGTGTGTGTGTGTGTCAGAGTCAGTATGCCAGTCGTGGGGCTTGAACTCTGGGCCTGAGTGCTGTCCCTGATCTCTTCAAGTCGTGGGGCTTGAATTCTGGGCCTGAGTGCTGTCCCTGATCTCTTCAGCTCAAGGCTAGCACTACCACTTGAGCCATAGTGCCACTTCTGGTTTTCTGGTGGTTAATTGGAGATAAGAGTCTCATGGCCTTTCCTGCCCAGGCTGGTTTTTTCTTTTGTGCAGGTACTGGGGCTTGAACTCAGGGCCTGAGCATCCTTTAGTTTTTTTTCACTTAAGGCTGATACTCTGCCACTTGAACCACAGCTTTACTTCTGACTTTTTAGTATTTAATTGAATATATGAGTCTCATAGACTTTTCTTTCTGGACTGGCTTTAATCCCCAGATCTCAGTCACTTGAATAGCTAGAATTATGGAAGTGTGCCACAGGCTTGCAATAGTCTTTTTTTTTTTTTTTGGTCTGAGACCAGGACTCATTACCTGATCTTTTGCTTATTGGCTAGTGCCCTACCAACTGAGCCATGACTCCAATCCTTCTTGTTCCTTTTAAGATTGAACCATATTCTATTGTTGTTTGTTTATTTGTTTTCTCTTGGCTGTACTGAAGCTTGCTTGAACTCAGGACCTTGCACTTTAGCTTGGTTGCTCTGCTGGTATGCTACCACTTGAGCAATGCCTCTAACTCTGCTTTTTGCTGGTTATTTTGGAGATGGAGTCTCAGTATATTTCTTTTTTTTTTTGTTGGTAGTGGGGCCTGAACTCGGCCTGGGCGCTGTCCCTCAGCTCTTCAGCTCAAGGCTAGCGTTCTACCACTTGAGCCACAGCGCCACTTCCGGCTTTTTCTGCTTATATGGTGCTGAGGAATCGAACCCAGGGCCTCACTGCGTGTGAGGCAAATACTCTACCACTGAGCCACCTTCCCAGCCACGTCTCAGTATATTTCTGTCCAGACTAGCTTCAAACTTTTATCCTCTGTATCTCAGTATCTTCAATAGCTAGTGTAAGCCACTGGCCTGGCTTTTTTTTTTTTTGGCCAGCCCTGGGCCTTGAACTCAGGACCTTGGCTCTAGCCCTGAGCCCTCTCTATGCTCAAGGCTAGAGCTCTACTACTTGAGCCATAGCATCACTTCCAGCCATTTTTGTTTATGTGGTACTGAGGAATCGAATCCAGGGCTTTCATGTATGTTAGGTAAGCACTCTACCACTAAGCCACATTCCTAGCCATGACCTGGCTCTTAAGATTTTTTTAAATTAGAAAATATGGAACACTTCATGTATTTGCACATCATCCTTATGCAGGAGCCATGTTGATCTCTGTATCATTCCAATTTTAGTATATATGCTATGGAAGCAAGCACAAGACTTAAGTTATCAGCATATTCAGAATACAGAATATTTTCTATTTCATGTATAAACCACATTTCTTTTAAAATCAATGTGAGGGGTACTCAGTAAAATTATCACAACCAACATATCTCTAGCAAGAAATGACTTTTTCCCTTGAAGTTTCACTTAGTACATTCCCCTCTCCAGACCACAAATTCTGAAAGGTCTGAGCAGATTTCTTGTCTGCTTCTGTGACTCTCACTGTGCACATAGTAGGTGTTCAGTTTTTGTGACTGAATAGTCGAACAAAGCTGGTGTCTGTATGGCATTGCACACATATGAACCCTCTGTCTTTGTGACATTGTCAGGATGAGCAGCTGAGGGCTCTGGTGCGGCAGTTTGGACAGCAAGACTGGAAGTTCCTGGCCAGCCACTTCCCTGTGAGTATAGCCCCTCTGTGGTCCCTCCCCCAGAGCAAGAACTGCCAAGAAGATATGGAAGTTCTCCCACAACACAATCTATGTGGGACCTTTCCTCTTAAAATCTAATATGCCTTGTTGAAAACATCATGCAGCTGCTTCAGCAGTTTTGGTAGTCTAGGCTTAGAGACTACTTAGTCTACTTAGAGCATGGATCCAATGACATGTTGGTATTTCTTCCTGCAAAAGAGGTGCACACAGATACTGTGTTTCAACACTGGGCCTAAAGTAGCAGACCTCCTGGTCAGCCCCCTGAAATGCTGATAGTAGGACCACATCTGAATATTAACTTTCCTGACAATGAGGGGTTTCCACACTCCAAAGCTTCAGGTGTCTGGGAGAGTGTATAGCCAGAGCCACCTATCTGGCTAACTCCCTGGGTCCTTGAGGCTTCTCAGGGGTTAAGTCACCCTATTCCTTTGCCCCACTTACCTCAACTCCTTCCATATAATTTCAAGGAATATTTATTGCACTGGAAAATGGGGATCCCTAGCATGTCCCACAGGCTTTTATAGAATTTGAGGCAGTGACCTATCTGGGTTTGGTGGTAGGAAGTGACTTTCCATAGGGGAGGGGATTGCCCTTTGTTGCAAAAGGAAAGCCTCCCTGTTCTGGCCTGTGAGCCTGTGTCATGTTGTGTGTGCATGGGACAGAATACACCCACTGAGGTGTGCCTGAACTCAGTGCTCAACCAGAATCTGATCTCCTGGTGTCAGAAGTTGTCACAGATTACTGTTCCTGTGTTCTTTGCAGAACCGCACAGACCAGCAATGCCAGTACCGGTGGCTGCGGGTTTTGAATCCAGATCTTGTGAAGGGTCCATGGACCAAAGAGGAAGACGAAAAGGTAAGAAGAGAAAGAAGATGAGTGGCATGGGGCTGCACACAGGGCTCACCCACTATAGGTGAAGTAGGCACTGAAAGGCTGTACTTCCTCTGGGCAGAGCTGCTCCACTGAATATGGAAGTGAGGCATCCCAGTGGTCGGCCTTCATATGGCCCATGCCACTCTAGTCTCAGGTGTTTCCCAGGCTTTCCCCTTATGGGCCAAGAGCTGTTGGGCTTCTAAATCCCTGCTTCTTAATTGGTAACAGCACTTGCCACATAAGAGTTGCGAAAGGTAATAAGTGATGTATGTGTATAAGGAGCTTCCTCAGCCAAGAGCATCTGGAAAGTGTATGTCTGTGTGTGTTTAGGGCTTGAAGTCAGGGACTAGGCATTGTCCCTTAGCTTTTGTGCTCAAGTCTAGAACTCTGTTGCTTGAGCCACAGCTTCACTTTCAACTTTTGGTGTTTAATAGGAGATAAGAATTTCATGGGCAGGGACTTTCCTGCCGGCCTAGCTTCAAACCATTATCTTCAATTCTCAGCCTCCTGTGTAGCTAGGAATGCAGGTGTGACCCACTGGCACCTGACCTGCTGTTCCTTTTAATGGTATGATATGGATCACACCACATGTAATCACAGGATTTAGAGCCTCAGGAGACCTTGCTTCAATTGGTCCCCATAGTCGTGTGAGGTGGGCAGAAGAGTTGTTATTCCCTCTATATAGATGTGGAGACCAAGGTGCAGAGTTAATCATGTCCCAAGCTAGAAAGGAACAGCATCATGACCATCCACAGCTGTTTTTCCTGTGTTTCCTAAACTTCCCAAGCCAGCCCAGAATATGTCATTCCACACTGGCAGACAGCCTACAGGGAAAAGGAGGAGATGAAGAGTACTAGATATTTTTCAGATCTTTTTCTTTCCCAAATCAGAATAATAATCAGTTGCTGTAAAATTTTAAACTGTACAATAATCTGGGCACAGCAGCACATACCTGTAATCCCAGCTCTCAGGAAGCTGAGGTAGAAGGATCACAAGTTCACAGCACCCTGGGTTACATAGCACAATTTTATTTCAAACCCTAGAGTATTTCCTTTTGCATAGAAGTGTACACGCCCTTTAGTTTGCTGTGGCCTGTGTGCATATGAGCTTGTGTGTCCAGAATTGAGAGGGCTCTGGTTTGGCTTGGGTAACTGTTGTGGTTTATGTTCGGAGCAAGGGTACTTGGCAGAGGGGCAGTTGGTAACTGAAATCCAACCCTGGATAGCCGTGGTTCTGAGCCTTTCTGATTTCCACAAAAGTGCTGGAAGGGTTCATGGTGCCCTGAAGTGGGGTTGGGCTAAGAATGTCTATCTGTTGCCTGCTGTCTTTTAGTTTATTGTGGTTCCATATTGAAAAGTGAGCCATGGGTGTCCTGGATAGGGAGCTTTGTAAGTAGATCCTCTTCTGCCCTTCTCAAAGAGGGAGGCAAGATACTGGCACTTGGCTTGATCTTTACTCAAAGATTTTAATTACCCTTAGCCTTGATTTATTCTAGACAATGTGGTAAGATCCTCAGTCACGTAGGCTACACAAAGTCATCCCCAGTAACAACCACAGTGGCTCACATGTTGCCTATAGACTGGGTCAGTGGCACCTCAAAGAGGAAACCCACTTGTGTAGTCAGTGGCATCTCCCAGGGCCACAGTGACAACCCTCTTGGATATGAGGGTGCTAAAGTGGAGTGTGGAGGGGCAAGCCCCTCTGGTTCATACAGGCTCTTCTTCAAGGTCATCGAGTTGGTCAAGAAGTATGGCACGAAGCATTGGACACTAATTGCCAAGCACCTGAAGGGCCGGTTGGGGAAGCAGTGCCGTGAGCGATGGCATAACCATCTCAACCCTGAGGTGAAAAAGTCCTGCTGGACTGAAGAGGAGGACCGCATAATTTGTGAGGCTCACAAAGTGCTGGGCAACCGCTGGGCTGAAATTGCCAAGATGTTGCCAGGGAGGTAAGTTACCTTCTGAAGGCTTGGAGATTGGAGCAGACAGCGTGAGGTTCCAAGAGGTGAGGGCCATGCCAGGCCTTATAATGGGAATAATCTATTCCCTACTCTTCAGCTGTATTTCCAGAGAAGATTGAGTGTTCCAGAAAGGTTCTTACCTTAAAAGAACAGTGTCCAAGGGAAGTTTTAGCCAGAAAGAAAGGCAAGTTGTAGTGTAACCTGTTATTAAAAGAGTTATGAAAAACATCAATTTTTTGTCCCCTTTTCAAGTTCCTACTAAAACATAAAGAATCTTGTTAGGTATCCCAAGTTGGCCTTACAAGATCCTCTTTCCTCAGCCTCCCAAGTGCTGGGAGTGTCCCACCACACCTTGCCAGACCCATTCCAAGAAAATTCTGATTTTTATCTCCATAATTATAAATAGTTTTTTAATCTTAGTTTTCATCTAGGAGATTTAGTTTTTTTAGATATTACTATTCCTGTTACCTCCCATTGCCCTAATATACTACTATAATTTTTTTGTTACTGGTTTTTTTTTTTTTTTTGGGTCCGGTCGTGGGGCCTGAACTCTGGGCCTGGGCGCTATCCCTCAGCTCTTCAGCTCAAGGCTAGCGCTCTACCACTTGAGCCACAGCGCCACTTCCGGCTTTTTTCTTTTTGCTTATGTGGTGCTAAGGAATTGAACCCAGGGCCTTGAGCATGTAAGGCAAGCACTCTACCACTGAGCCACCTTCCCAGCCTATTACTATAATTTTTTTTTGTTATTGTTGAGCTCAAGACTGAGCACTGTCCCTCATCTTTTCTCCTCTAGGCTAGCACTCTACCACTTTGAGCCACAGCACCACTTCTGGTTTTCTGGTGGTTAATTGGAGATAAAGAATCTCATGGACTTTCCTGCCCAGGCTGGCTTTGAGCCACCAGTCTCAGATCTTACCCTCTTCCTGAGTAGCTAGGATTATAGACATGAACCTCAGCACATGGCTTATTTCCTTTACTGACATTTAATTTTTTTCCTGGAGTTAAGCATTGCCTTGTTTTTTGCGTTTTGGGTTTTTTTATGCTGGTACCAAGGCTTGAGCTCTGCATCTTGGTGCTATCCCTTTACTATTTGAGCCGTAATGCCATTTCTGGCTTTTCTGTGGCTAATTAGAAGAGTCTCACAGACTTTCCTGCTTGGGCTGCCTTCAAACCATGATCCTTAGCTTTTAGCCTTCAGAGTAGCTATGATTATATAGTATGAGCCTCCCAGTACCCAGTCTCTCTCTCTCTCTCTCTCTCTCTCTTTCTCTTTCTCTTTTTTGGTTGTTGTTGCTTGTGGGGCTTGAATTCTGGGCCTGAGCACTGTCCCTCAGCCCAAGGCAAGCACTCTCACTTGAGCCATAGTGCCACTTGTGGTTTTCTGCTGGTTAATTGGAGATAAAGAGTCTTATATACTTTCCTGTCCGGGCTGGCTTTGAACCCTAATCCTCAACTCTCAACCTCCTGAGTAGCTCCTATTATAGGTGTGAACCACAGATGCCCCCTCCCCAGTCTTATTTTTTGTGGAGTGGGAAAACAGTAGTGGGATATCAACTCACAGGGCCTAGATATTCAAATACTTGAACCATGCTCCCAGCCCTTTTGCTTTAGTTTTTTCTTGAATAAGGTCTTGCTTTTTGTCCAGGCTGGCTTGTATTACAGTCCTCCTGTTTATGCTTCTAAATCACTGAGATAGGCATTCCTACATTCCTGGCTGTTCCTCTTTTTAGTCCTACAAGTTCTCCTGTCAGTTCCCTACTACCTTGTGCCTGTTGTATACTTCGTGGGGTCTCATTCTTTGGGGCTTGCTGGGTAGAGTCTGCTGTTTTTTCAGAGAAATTTTGTCTGTTCTTCCAGACCCCTGCATAGTGCTCATGCCTGCCTTCTAAGTGGTGTGTATCCCAAATGCAGGTAGATAAAATGCCTAATTTTCTCCACTAGATGAGCCTATATGACAACGTTTAACCTGCCTTATTTGCTAGTATATATCCAGCATCTAGGATAAAGCTTGGCTGGCAGTAGGTTCTTCATAAATATAAGTGAGCAAAAGCATGTTTCTCATTCCTTGCAGCACCTCAGATTCTGACCTTGAGGTCAGAAAGGCTGGGAAGTGATTTGGGTCAGACTTCCCTATAGAGGTTAGAAACCTGAGATGGAGAAATTCAGTTACATGGGATTTATAGAATGAAGACTCTGTGAGAAAACAATTGTAAAAAAATGAGAAGAGGCTAATGAGCAAGAGTTAGGGACTGTAGTAAAATCTACCCTTGACCAGAAACAAAGCCAAAGTGTTTGTGTGAGTGTGTGCCCACACACATGTGAAGCATGTGCATGTGTGAAGCAGAGGTATCTTTGATGTCTTCCAAGGTCTTCTCTGCAGAGAGCGTCTGACTTATGTAGAAGCTGTCAGCAGCAGCAAGCACTTAGAACAGTGGGGGCTTTGGGTATCCTATATCTATGGAGAATCTCAGCAAAGCACCAGCAGCAACCCTTGTCTGGTCAGCACCATGTCCTGAAAGTCTGGCATGCAAATGACCAGAAACAGAACCTGTTAGACCACTTACTCAAGCTATTACTCTGTTCTTTCACATTTCAGAGGGAAAACACTGAGCTAGTTCCAAAGAAGTCTGGGTAGAAAGCAAGACTTGCGTATAGGGGACTTGTGACACTTGGGCTGGGGGTCAGCATTGTTCCTAGATGCAGAATGGGCAGCAAGGGGTGGGAAGTTCCAAACACATTTTCAGTGTTATCATATCTTCCATAGTCTGAGAAATGCATTGATGTCAGAGTTATGAGGGAGTTCTCTACAACTCATTCTGGGCTAGAAACAGGAAGACTTGATCTTAGAGCATCGCAAAATTGATGTACCTTCATTTGTGGAAGTAGGAGAACAGCTGAGGTGTGATGTGCCCAGACTACAATAGCCACCATAGCACATCAAAGGTCTCTGTTTTCCTCTACAGGACAGACAACGCTGTGAAGAATCACTGGAACTCCACCATCAAAAGGAAAGTGGACACAGGTGGCTTCCTGAGTGAGTCCAAAGATTCCCAGCCCCCCTTGTACTTGCTGCTAGAGCTTGAGGACAAGGACAACTGCCAGAGCGCCCAGCCTCCAGAAGGCCAGGTGGAAGGTCAGATGGAAGGCCAGGTAAGGCAGCTACCACAGCATCCCTCTATCTCATCAAATACCTTATCAAGGCTACTCACTAGTTTCTACCACAGGGTCTTCGTTTTCTAGGGATGTATGACAGGCTTATACATAATTAACTCATAATCTGCCTTCAGGAGAATAGCAATCTGACATCTAAGGATCACAATTTGGAGCCAACCTGGGAAGGAAAGTCCAGAAGACTCCCAGTTAACCACCAAAAAAAGCCAAAAGTAGAGCTGGGCTCAAGTGGTAGAGTGCTAGCCTTGAACACAGAGAAGCTCACAGACAGTGCTCAGGCCCTAAGTTCAATCTCAGAAGCAGAACTAGAGGCATGGCTCAAGTGGTATAATGTCAGCTAAGCAAGTATCAGGCCCTGAGTGTAAACCCTAGTACTGCCCCACACCAAAAAAAGATTAATTGTAATGTAATGTGCATACAGTAAACTTCGTGTTCATTTAGTGCTCAGCTCTGTGTATAGTTGTTTTAGCCATCACTATCAAGATATAGAATGTTGACCCAGGATTGTCTATGCTATTTTTGTTTCTCCCCTCTTTCCTATTCTTAGCTCCCTGATTCTTTTCCTGTTTTATCTTCAAAAAGTCATGCAAATGAAATCATACAGTATTATACTACAATTAAGAAAAAGAAGCCAGGGCTGGGCCTATGGCTTAGTGGTAGAGTACTTGCCTAGCATGCATAAGCCCCTGGGTTTAATTCCTCAGAACCACGTAAATAAAAGATAAATAGAAGTCACATTTTTTTAAATAAAACTAGCCATAAGTAGTTTATTCCTGTAATCCTAGCTACTCAGAAAACTGAGATCTAAGAATCACAGTTCAAAGACAGCCAAGGTAAGAAAGTTTGTGAGACTCTTAATTAACCACCAAAAAAGCCAGATGTGAAGCTTTGGCTCAAAGTGGTAAAGTGCCAGCCTTGAGCACAAAAGCTGAGGGACAGCACCAAGGAAAGAAAGAAAACCAGTATATGCACACATTAACTTCCCCATCCCACTCCTAAAACAAGCATTTAAAATATATCTCAGATGATTGATTTATTTTAAAAAATTGAGGTGGTAAGCAAAAATGGCAGATTATGAAGTTCTGATTGTGCTAAGATCTACAGTAGACATCTTGCAGATACCTCCAGCCATTTTTTTGGGGGGGGGGCGTCCGGTAATGGGGCCTGAACTCTGGGCCTGGGCACTGTCCCTTAGCTCTTCAGCTCAAGGCTAGCGCTCTACCACTTGAGCCACAGCGCCACTTCTGGCTTTTTTCTTTTTGCTTATGTGGTGCTGAGGAATCAAACCCAGGGCCTCAGGCATGCAAGGCAAGTGCTCTACCACTGAGCTGAGCCACCTTCCCAGTCCCAGCCTTTTCTTTTTTTCCATCTTTGTTAGCATGTTAATGGTACAAAGCATTGGGTTTCACTGACATTTTCATACATGTGTGTAATGTACCTTGTTTATATTTACCACCATCTACCTGTCTTCCTTCTCTTTCTAATCTCTAATAGTTCTTTTTCTACTTTTTTTTAAAGTCTATATTATATGTATGAGGGAAAACAAGGCTTGTCTTTTTGAGACTGGCTTATTTACTTAAAAGATGACCACCAGTTCTATTCGTTTTCCTGCAAATATACAATTTTGTTCTTTGTGGCAGCATAACACTCTACTCTGTATATATTTTCCAGTCTTTAGTAATTTTGAACAGCTTAGTTTTCCAGGTGTTTTTTTTTCCTCCCCAGTCTAGGAATTAGCCTCAGGCCTGGGTGCTATCCTTGAGCTTCTTTTGCTGAAGCCTAGTGCTTTACTACTTGAGCCACAGCTCTACTTCTGGCTTTTCGGTAGTTTATTGGAGATGAAAGTCTCATGAACTTTTCTTCCCAGGCTGGCTTCATCAAACTATGATCCTTAAATCTCAGTTTCTTGAGTAGCTAGTGTTAGAAATGGCTTGGGATAATGGGGTATTGTCACATACTAATGTAATAAGGACACCAACTCAAAAGAAACTCAACAAGGCAAAATTTACTTTTGTTTGTCACATACTAATAATGTAGTAAGGACACCAACTCAAAAGAAACTTAGCAAGGCAAAATTTACTTTTGTAGAAGTGTGTGCCATCAACCAAAATTCTTTTTTATCCCTAACCTAGCAGGTCCTGCCCCTCTGCTGGCAATTGGCTAAACTCAGATTCACAGTCTGCAAAAGGATATGGTGTAATTAATAGGATTTAACTAAAATTCAAGGAGCATCTAACAAGATGTCTTAATTAAACTGTAGCAGGAAAAGGATGTGATGTAACAAATGTAATTAACCAAGGACCAAGCCAACGGGTCAAAGCAGGAACTTTTCAGAAAAACAATTCTTACAAGATTAGCATAAAAGTAGCAAACTACTTTGATAGAAAAGACTATTTTTTCACACTAGGATTACAGGCATGAGTCACCAGTGCTGCCAAGCCAAGCAAGAGCTATTTAGTTTTTAGTAGTGGTGGTGGTGGTCATTTGGGACAAGGTCTTACTAGAATTTCTCAGGCTAGCCTTAACTTCCTGCTCCAAATGCTAGGATTACAGATTTTTTTTTTTTTTGGATCCAGTCGTGGGGCCTGAACTCTGGGCCTGGGCGCTGTCCCTCAGCTCTTCAGCTCAAGGCTAGCGCTCTACCACTTGAGCCACAGCGCCACTTCTGGCTTTTTTCTTTTTGCTTATGTGGTGCTGAGGAATCGAACCCACGGCCTCATGCATGCAAGGCAAGCGCTCTACCACTGAGCCACCTTCCCAGCCCCACAGATTTTTTTTTTTTAAGTTTCCTTTTCACTGATTAGAGAGAGTTCTTTGTACTACTTCTCCATGCCCTATTGGAGGACTGCATAGTGCTTTTGCCTATTTCTTAATTTCCCATCTTCAGGGAGTTTCACAATTCTCTAATGTAAATGTGCCTTTGGGCAAAATGAAATGGAGACGACCCTTCAAGATGAAAGTATAATGTTGCCTTCCTTAAGTCTCATCCTCTTGCTGTGTGCTTTCACCCTGAGACTTTTGGAGAGGGGAAAAAATACCTTTCTACAAAGCAGAGTAGATCAGCACACTGCACTTTCAGCACAGGGTGGAGTTCACAGATATTCCTTAGCATCTGAAAACCCACTTTGCTCAGAGTTGGCTATTGACTTGGCCTTTGTCCCCTGCCATTGCTCTCTGTAGTGTACTGGCTTATTGGACTGAGGCTGAACCCCACACAAGGGCACTGGGCATTTCATAAGGCCGTTAGTCCACCATGTGTTTTCAGTCTTACCCACCCATTCATCTCCAGTTATTTCAGTTATTTATTTTTCATTTAGCAGATTCCTTACTGATGAGTATAAAGGTTATTTCTCATTTATTATTTGAAATCAAACTTGGTTATTTTTGTGGCTTTTATCACTACTGTTTTGCTCTATTTCAAGAAATTTCTAAACTTGGACAGAGAATTTAAAAGAAAGAATAGATACATTTTGGCCCATTGCTTGGTATAGGACCACAACCACGCCCAATTTTCCCCACACACTGGTGAATTTTCCTGGGCTTCAAAAGCCACTGGTGGCTCACACCTGTACTCCTAGCTATTCAAGAGGCTGAGAGCCCAGCGCTGATAGTTCACACCTGTAATCCTAGCTACTCAGGAGGCTGAGATCTGAGGATCATGGTTCAAAGTCAGTCTGGGCCAAAAAGTCTGTGAGACTCTTATCGCCAATAAACCACTAGAAAACCAGAACTGGCACTGTGGCTTAAGTGGTAGAGCGCTTGCCTTGAGCTGAAGAGCACAGGGACAGCGCCCAGGCCCAGAGTTCAAGGCCCATGACTGACCAAAAAAAAAAAAAGAGACTTAAATCTGAAGATTGAGGTTTGAAGCCAGCCCAGGCAGGAATGTCTGTGAGACCCTTATCACCAATTAACCCCCCTTTCCCCCTATCTACCCCCCCCAAAAAAAGCTGGAAGTGGAGCCTCAAATGGCAGAGCCCTAGCCTTGAGCAAAAAAGCTCAGGGACAGCACCCAGGTCCTAAGTTCAAGCTCTAGTACCAGCACACACAAGATAATGGATTTTTTAATTGTTACCATAAAGGTGATATAAAGAGGTTACAGTTACATAACTCAGGTAATGAGTACATCTCTTTTTGGATAGTGTCACTCCTTCCTTCATTTTCTCCCAGTTTTTCCTTTTGGTCCCCACCCATGAGTTGTATAGTTTTTCAACATAGTCTCTAACATTGGGTATCATTTGTTTTTGTTTGTTTTTTTGGGGGGGGGGATCCGGTCGTGGGGCTTGAACTCTGGGCTGGGCACTGTCCCTCAGCTCTTCAGCTCAAGGCTAGCACTCTACCACTTGAGCTACAGTGCCACT